TATTCTCTGTGAGAGAAGGGCAGTTCTTGCCTGACCTGCGTCCTCTTCTTACTGAAAACGAGGCACCTGCATTTGGGACATGCCCCATCTGTAGCCATGCCATAGGTTACACAGCAGCACCCACATGCACTCTGAAGCAGGGATGGATTTTTGTGGACACTGGAGGCGGGGCCGGTGTTATTTTGGGTGTTCTCTGCACATGGTTGTTTCAGTAGTGGTGTGTGAGCTGGGTACAGGACAGATGAGAAGAATAAATCCACGCTGGCTAGGGAAGTAGTCCCTAACTTGTCGGCACAAGGAGCCCACTGTTGACCCAAAGTGGGGTTCTCACGTGACACTTAGAGACATGGTTTAGTGGTGGACTTGGCAGTGCTAGGTTAACGGTTGAACTCGATGCTCTCAACAGTCTTTTCCAACCTAAATGATTCTATGATTCTTCCACACAGCAGTGAGAAGGTGGCAGCACTAATAAGGGAACTAAATGACTTTGTTAGCATTTTTATGGTGGGGTGAAATCCTTGAGTATCTAGTGAGTTGCTGCATTTACTGGAGCATCAGCTGCAATGTGTGTTTTGGTTGGTTGGGCCTTCCTTTGTATTCTTCTCATTTTAGGCTCTTAGAGATTTGACAAGTCAGCAAGAATTTGTACCCTCTTCGCCCCCACCCCACTGACCATGACCTTTGCGTCTCATTCCTCTGGGAACACTCCGTTAGCTAACAAGGTCAGTTACGGACTTGAATTTGGAGTCCTGTGGTCAGAACTGGGACAGGCTCTGTGGGAGTCACCAGAGGGCAGGTCAGCTCAGGTGTCAGGCTGCTCTCTTGTAGGTGTGAACTAGAAAAGGGAAGGGTTCTCCTCCCCACCCCCTCATCTTCAAGTATGTTAAAGTAAGCCTAAACTGCAGGGTCTAATTACTCTGAAGTATGTGATGCAACCTCTCTTCAGCAGATCCCTTGCAGCTGGCAGAGGAAAGGCAGTAGCTATATATTACAAAAGGGCATATAGAATTACTCTCACTTGTGTTGCTTATCCCCTTCCCAAAAGTGCCTCAATATCTGTCCTCGAGTGGCCTGTACCTTAACAAAGTATCTACCTTAGACCCATTCTTTCTTCACTTTATCCTTGTCTGCAGCACACCCTAAAGCTGAGATGCTAAAACAGCAGAGGCCTGGATCTATGAAAAAAATAAAAGTGTTAAATACTGGGTAGCATGCTGAATAAGGAGCGGTCAGGGAAAGGACTTTAAAGCCGCCACTTAAATTTCAGTTGTGCTTAACTCTAAGCTGTACTTGGGTGTTGTGGCTGGGAGCTGGTCAAGGGCTTTCTTCAGCAAGTGTTCCGGGCACAGGCTGGGAGCAAAGACTGAAACCCCAAATGACAGACACAGAGCTGTGCAGGAACCTGGTGGCCCCTGGCCTCCTGAGGCCCTTGTCAGAAGGTCCATGCTGTGGGGCTGTAGGCGGCAGAGCAGTGCCGAGCTGCTCAACTGGGGCAAAACAGGACCATTACTGGGCACACCTCGACACAGCTTGAAAAATTAAGGTGTCAGTTCCCATCAGGATAGATGGATGCTGAGTAGAGATTCTCAGGATAATAATTTGGCTGCTGCAAAATACTGACATTAACCTAGCTTTTAAATATGAGATCCAGCCTGGTGAAAGAAGCTAGAGCCAAGAAAGCATCACTTCTGCAGCCTTCTGCCAGATGTGAGTCACCTGGCTGCCTGCTCCAGGTACTCACTGGTCCGAACAAAAGCTGCTCACACAGGCAGACAGACGATGCTGTGGATATGTTCTTGGTTTAGTATTGCACCTGGTTTTGGACATCAGTTTAACTTTTGTCTGGAGGTGAAGTGGCTGTCCTTGTGGTGTCTGCAGTTGGTCGTTTCTTTCCTAACCTGCCTTCTGGAGAAGAAAATGCTACTACAAGAAGCTGGTTTTGCTGTTTGTGAGGGCTTGATATTTTTTTTTTTTTCATCCTCATTGTGGGCTGCAGTCAGGCAGCTGCAGCTCAGGGGGCAAGGTGACCGCTGCAGTGCTGAGTGCTCTTGTATAGGGCAAGGGCTGTTGCCAGAATTTGGTTTCCTTCCTTTTGACATAGCTCTGGCAACAGCCAAGCTAACACTTTAGACTCTATTTTTAAACTACTCAATGCTTTCTAATGGTCACAAATGAAAAGTTTCATTAGTACTAAACAAGTGAGGTTCTCAAGTTTGGTCTCTTTCATTTTAATGAGCGTAGCAGACAAAAATAATCTGAGGTCATAAACCTTACCTACGTTTAATTTTGGCTACAGTGGTGTAGCAGTACTAGCAAAGCCCTAGTAAGATAGATCTTGCTATTCTGTCAAAAAAAATAAATAAATATAGAAGTGCTTCTGGCAGCATTTTCATTCGCTGAACCACAGCAAGCTCATGCTACAGAATCTGAGAGTGTAATTTCTTTTGCTGTGAAACATGGGGGTGGGAGAGTGGACAGAGCCCTGACTGCCATGCTTAGGTGGGGCCCAGGTGTTCTGTAGAATGTCTCAGTCCAGGCATGAACAGTATCAAAGGTCAACCGATTCGTGTCTACTCCAACAGGCGTAGACACATAGAACGGGAGCAGTGTCTACACCAGTTGGTTACACAACAAGAGAGAGTGTTTCCCAGCGAAACACAATATACACTGCGCCTACTTAAGGTGAAAGCTGTGTGTGACTTTGATATTTTCAATTTCAGCACCAGGAGGGTTACAAGAACAGTGTTGCTTTGACTTCACATATGTAGCTGTACTTCAAGGTGCAAGCTCTATATTAGCATCTTAAAAAAAAACAAAAAAAAAAAGGCAGGGGAGGCCCAGTTTATAAGATTTAAGCCACCTCTACTTCACTGTGGTAGGGCTTGCTCTCAGGCCTACCCAGAGCACAGCAATGGTACCTCGGCTGCTCAAGTGAACCCTCCCGACTCATGTATGTGGCTGGGGAATGAGAACGGCACCAGCCTGGAAGAGGTCAGCTGTAGTGTTACCAATACATCCAGGGGAACCACAACACAACCTCCTTAAGTCACTTCATCATTTACTACTTTTTTTTTTTTTTTCCTACTTAGAGCTGACCCTCTCTCAGTCTCTTAGGTAGGGTGACTTGCTTCCTCCGAGCTAGAGGTCTATGGTTATGCTGTAGAAGTGGGGGAGCTACCGTTAGCTTCCAGTGGAAGCTGCTTTTGATCTCCCTGCGGTATCTGCAGGGGAGGGAAGGAACACTTGATTTGGACAGAGCAAGCTGCAGAGGATGCATCTTACTGCTGTACCTGTTTGAGGGGGGGATCTGTCCTCATTTTTAACTCGCATTATCAGCTTTGATTCAAGTGTAAAGCTAAAACCCACTCAGACCAAAAGAATGCCACTTGATTTGTTAAGTAGCAGAGGCCAGTGGGACTGACTCTGAAGCGTGCACATTAGGGGATATCTTCTACTAGGCTTCTGCTGGGTGCAAGCAGGTAGTGACAGACTTGCAGGGATTTTGGATTCTCTTCTCAAGAGGCCTGCCTGGGGGAAGAGACCCTGACCGGTCCTCAAGTCACCCATTATCCAAGGAACTGGTCAGATTGTTCCTTTTAATATGCAGGTGCAGCCCTCTTGGGGAAAACTGTCTAAAGCTTCTTGTGCCATTTGGTTAATTAAAAGTGTTTCCACCTATAAAAGAAAGTTCTTTCCAGCTTCATTGTTCTGCATTCAGTTGAAGTGGAGGGGTATGTACATTTTTCCCTCCGCTAATGGGACACTGCTGTAAGACCATGCCCCCAGGTTGCACTTTAATAAATGGTACAGTTTTCAAAAACAATGTGTAGACTACGTCTGTGCTTTTTTTTCCCCTTCCCTGTTCTAGTGCAGGCACCAAAGGAAAAAAAAGTCTTTTTACTTATGCAAGATTCACTTATGCCAGGTCCAGTGTCTCTATTGCTGCCAGCTGCATAACCAGTGGTAGTATATTAGAGGAACACCACAAGTACTTGCACAAAAACAGTAAAAAAAAAAAAGGCAGATGGAAATTAATGTTAAGAGCTGCATTGCCTTGAGAACTGCCAACTTTATTTAAGTTAAAGAAACCCACAAAATATTTACATCTTTTCAAGTGTGAGGCAGTTGGATCACAGGTGGGGCCTTTGCCACCTTGTGTGTGATTACAGGTATGTATCAAAACACCAGTCTTAATTTGCTGAACCTGAGTGTATTACAGTTACATCTCGTAAGAGATGCCAGGTATTCTTCTTGATCCAAAGCCAATACTTTCTTTTTCTTTGTAGTAAGATATTCTAAAGGTAAAGACTTCTCAAGCATATCCAGGTTGCATTCCCTGAATGAGATCATGTATCCAACCCTGCTCTTTTCTGTACATTTGCTTGTTCAATTTTATTTTTCAAGCAAGCATGAGGTTATTGGCGATCGATACTGAAGCATCTTTACTTCAGCCTTCATTGGCCAAACACTTCTACATCCTGCTGCCATCTCCCCTCTACAATAGACCTGATTTTTAAAATTTTCTCCCTGGTCGTCTGTGCTGATAAACCACTCATTGTAGAGTCTGAGGTCTTCCTGAGGACAATTAACATTCAGCACAGCTGCAGCACCAGGAGCAGGGCTGGTAATAGAATAACTAAAGCAAAACACTAGAGCTGATTAGAAAAAAAAATTAAAAAAAATACACTGACAGTGTAGGCTCTGTGCTCACAGCATTTCCTCTGAGGGCCAGGGTCTGCACAAAGTCTGCTACTGTTACAAAATGAAAGAAATAGAACTATTCTAAAATGAGAGGGGTAAGCACTATTCTCTACAGGTACTGGCAGAGCTGGCACTACCATCATTGCTGTGCTAGTCTACAAAAGCCTGTCTATGAAGCTCTGCCATCCTTTTCACAGCTGTATCTCAGAAATTAAGAAGAGAATAAGTAATTCACATATATCAAGAACAGTAAAAAAAAGTCTTCAAGAATCCGTATCTTCAACAGAGGGCTGGAGAGCTCACCTGTGCAGCTGGAGGGAGAGAAACAGAACCAGCGTCAGGAGCAGCAGAGCCATCCCCACCCTGCTCCAACTGTCCCCAGCGCCACCAGCCGCGCCTCAGCCCTGCCACCTGCTGTGCCACGTATCTGCCCCTTGCCCCCCCAGTCCGTGCTAATGGCAGGGGGGGAGCTGGCAGCAGAAGGGACCAGTTTGGTCCTTGGTGCCCAGCTCTGACCCCCTCCTGAGGTCACTGTGCTGGGGACAGGCGGACAAACCAGCAGCCCCTTCCCTGCCCTGTGCATTCAGCCTGCTGGGGCAGCAAGGCAGCAGCAGGGCCAGTCGCTCGTTCCAGTAACAGGAGTGACTGGTTTCTGTGATAACTTAGCTCGAGGGGGCTGAGTTGGATGAAAGGGAGGGCAGTGCACAGTCACACTTCACAGCGAGGGTGCCTTGCTGCCCAGCAAAGAACAGAGGGGTGCTGGGTGAGGCACCTGATGTGGGTGTGTGTGAGCTGCCATTTCCCATTTGACTGTTTCCCATTCTCCCTTTGCTGGTGGTATTTCTCGGGGCAATTCCTGTCCTCTTCCAGTTCTGCCAAGCTCTGGGAATCCCAGGAAGACAAGAGTAGAGACCGCAGGCCCAAGACATTTGAGCTTAGGTCAGGCTTTCCCTCCCAGAGGCCATGATTAACCCTTTATCAGATAAGACCAATTAAGTCTTAACCACCAGAGCTCCCTGAAGAGACTGCAAGCAGAGGAGCAATCACCTTCCTCTATAGAAAGATTCTACAGAATAACCACACTCTGTTCACTGGCTGCTGTGAATGGGGCAAGCAGAAGCTGCGACGTCCCCCTCGAGCTTCCCTCCGTCAGCACATGAACCTTCAGAGCTCTGCAGCGACCGCAGCATTCCCTTCTGGCTAAACCTCCAGACCACTAAAGGGAAACCAGCTCAGAGCCAGGCCACCCCTCCAGGAATAACCTAGGCCAGCTGAAAGGGTGGCTGTGACTTGTACCAAGCCCTTTGACAGCACTCACCATTCTGACAACGTAGTTGTGGAACCGCTGGTTGATGTAGTTCACAGTAGTGCTGAAGACATGATGTAGAAGAGAGGGCATTGTATTTGCTATTTTTTTAGTCAAGACCATTGCTAGCACCAGCTTGGCCTTCTCCAGTTCCATGTCTGAGGGGATGGCTTGTGCGAGCTCTTCCACTGCCCCCGACAGGTGCCGGGTTATCTCCTGCATGGAAGGAAGAGAGATATCTCAGTGCAGCAGCTGTGGGGAAAAAGGGGTCTCGGCCCAGCCTGCTGGCACTGTACTGGCAACCGATCTGTTTGTTCTAACACCCCACAGGGTGCCGCTCCGCTTCCTCGCAGGCACTGCAGCCTGCCTGTTGCACACCCTGGATGTCAGTAAGGATGGCTATCTCTGGGCTCAGCTGCTCACCCAAGACAAAAAGAAAGGGAGACCACACACACACACACATGCACACACACACACTACTGGAGAATTTAGATAATGCCTTACACACTATGGATGCAACAGCTCCCCTCCTCCCCAGGGTTTGCATTTGTCTCCAAGTCCTGAAGTGGCACAAGAATCCTGGGGCTCCCATGCCTTATTCATAGCAAAGATCAGGAGTACGAGCTCAGCTGAGGACAGGCAAGAAGGCAAAGTGAGTTTCATAGAAAAGCCTTCACATAGGGAGGAGCTAGAGAAGTTGTCCAAGAATGGAACAAACACTGCCTTGCTCCTGAGATGCGTGGAAGATCAGTTACCAGTTTCCCAGGACGGACAATGCGCATACGCACACACTAAAAAAAAAAATAAAAAAAGGCAAAAAGTCTGCCTGCTCAGAAGTCAGGTTTGTCTCAGCCTTATCGAAGGCCAAAAGGTTAGGCAGTAAATTTGAAGGCCTGAAACTGCGCAGAAAATAAGACAGCAGGAGTGGGCAACGGTCAGACTTTGCTGGAATCAGTTTGTGCAGGTGATAAACCCTAGCAGGAAAAACCCATGCCACAAAAATCATAAAGTGTTTGGTGTCTTTATATCCCCATCACGAGAGCAGACCCTCAATTCAAAGACAGCATTAGTCTGTAGAGCATAGGAAACTTTATCACAGGCAGAGAAAGCCAAACAAGCCAGAAGGCCCCTGTTATCTTGAAGACACCAAAAAGGCTCTGTAGAAGCAAACTGTGGCTCTTGATCCAGATGTGGTGGATCCAATCCTTAAAAAAACCCCAAAGACACAAAAACCCCAAAACAAAAACAAACAACCATACCCCCAAATAGATTATCTAATACAAGGAACCTCAAACTCTACTTCCCTTGCAGAGTAGTGAGGCACATGAGATGGGACTGGGCCACAGATTACACCACATCTGTTGGTGGGAGAACAACTGCATCGAAGAGGTGGAGATGTCACTTAGGGAGGCCTTCTCAGCAGGTCACCCATCCAGGCCAAAAACCACTGCAACTCCCAACACTGACAGCTTATGAGTGAAACAGTCACGGCACTAGAAAAAGGTCTTACTATTTGCTGTTTCTTCAGTGTTCAGTAACAAGTACAAGACAAACTCCGGGCACTAACACTGCTCAAGCTTTACCCATGTGATGAGCAGCCCACATACAGGACTCAGCACCAAAGTCTAAAGATGTTCAGGACAAATACTAAGCCTTAACTGGACAGTTGGTTTTCAAAAGATAAGCCACTGGGCCAACAAAATCAGGACAAAGTGCCTCTGCAAGTCAGTCCTTCTCCACAGCTACCTCAGTTTCACCATCTGCAGAAAGGAGATAAGCCCACGGAACCCAGTTTGCAGAGCAACAGCTGCTACAGGATACAGCATCACCTCTAACAAATTTTCAAAGGTGTCTGGGCTGAATTTTAGGATGCCAATAATTAGATCAGCAAACTAAAAAATGGCACAAAAAAACCCAACAAACAAAAATCAACAAGTAGGAAGCTTGCAGCTTCAAAGTCATAGCAGAAAGGATGCACAACATTTAGAAGGCTAAGTCAGGTTGCTTTTCACTCACCTCTCTGGACAGATTCTCATTCCGGAAGTGCTGCACTAGATCATTTACTACTCTGGCATTGATGTCTTTATCAAACTGGTCTCCAATCTCAGCGAGCTGAGCAGCAATGATCCGGACAGCTTCATTCACCTCAGGGTCAAATCCTGCCAACACACACAGCAGGATTTAGTTCACAGGCTGTAGTCAGGACTAGGTTTGGTGCAGGTAAGCTGACCCATAACGTTTTTCCCATCTCTGTTAACAACCTCCTTCCCACCCACTTCCCCAATTCATGCTGCTTTCATGACAGCTACCTGCGCTCAACATCCTTGCAGGCACTCAACTCCTTTACCAGACGGTGTGCAAACCTGTTTCCTATCTGTAGTTTACATAAAGGGCAGCCTCACCCTGCCCAAAAAACCCTACAGGGGAGGTTAGAACATCTCCAGCCAAAATTTGTAGAGGTCAGCCAACATTTTGCTGAGAGAGGGAAAGTGAGAGTGTGCATGATTTTCTCAAGTGACTACTGTCAGGGCCTGTCTTCCAAAGACCATCTAAAATACAGCATCTCATAGAATCATAGAATGTGCTGGCCTGGAAGAGACCTTTCAAAGTCATCTAGTCCAACCCCCTGCAGTGAGCGGGGACATCTTTAACTAGATCGGATTGCTCAGAGCCCCATCCAGACTTACACTGAATGTCTCCAGGGTTGGGGCATCTACCACATTTTTGGGTGATCTGTTCCAGTGTTTCACCACTCTCATCATAAAAAAAAATTCCTTATATCGAGCCTGAATCTACCCTTCCTTAGTTTAAAACCATTATCCCTTGTCCTATCTCCTTTTAGTAAAGCTTCCCATTATCACTTGGGACATGAGACCTATGCAGATTCGTATGAGGGCTATTTATTGTAGTAGCTTCTCCACACTCTGCTTAGGTTGACGTCAATGTGCCAGCTAACATATCCTGGGCAAGGGGCAATAGCCACCGTGCAGATGGCCAGTGAAGCAGGAACAGTACCAGAAACTATCTGAGGAACAGTTTCCACCACACTGGTAGCACAGAAAGGGCTTCATCCAGTACCAGAACAAAAGAAATCCTAGTCCAAGAACTGATATTGCCTGAGAAGCGGTGTGAGGCTTAACTGTTTAATATTAACATTCCTTGAGGACACCTATCTTGAGTACCATCTCTGTGGCCCTTGTCTGATGTGCTGCAGACAAGGTGACAGATGCTCTAGAAATTTATGAGGAGATAAAGTGCTAAGCACTATAGCTGCTTTATCCCAAGTGTTAAACTCCCAACCAGCAGCCACACTGTGAAGTTTCTCAGTGGAGAAAACACTACTCCGCTGAAACAGACCAACAGTGAAAATGGAAAAAGGGGAAAGAAACCCCCCCCTTCAGAGAGTGAAGGTGTAGGACGGAGAGGAGAGAGCACTCGCCTGGCTCGCCATTCTGCATGCGGCCGCCCCGATTGCCGTCGGTCTGGAGTTCCGCCTCATCATCATAGCAGTAGCTGCCTTTCAGGCAAGACACAATCCCATGGTTTTGCAGGGACTGCAGCTGCTGCTTAAACTTACAGTCCCTGGATGCCTCCAGGAAGGTGTACAGCAGCGCACACTCCATCTGGACAGATCCGTTGATCTTAAACAAAAGAAAATCACTGTTAAGCCCCTGCCTAGGAAAAGTCTCACCCAAAAGGACTATGCATACGCTGCTTTCCAACTCTGAACACGTTCCTCTGGCCTCCTGTGGCCATCCTGAACAGCATTCACCAGGGAGTCCACAAGACCTCAGCAAATGTGGACCAACTCCCGGAAATGCACCCACACAGATCTGTCTGATAGTGAGTGACGGATGGCTCTGTCATCACAAACCATCAGTGGAAGTGTCAGCTCACCTTCTCCTCACAATTCCAGCTGTGGCAATGACAGAAACCCTGCTCATACTTCCTCTTTTGAAACTGAAGCATACTCAGCAAAAAGCACCCACTTCCTCACACAGCTGTTTTTGGAAGCTTTCTATCCCTGCATTTGGGAATTTTGCGTTCTACTTCCTGCACACAACAAAGCCAGCAGCTCCCCATTTAAATGTAATCAGAGCATAGCAGTAACAAGGTGGGAAACCAGTATAACAGAGAGCATAAGCTTGCAAAAACACCCATGGATCACATTTCTTCTCTCTCTTCAAAGGGATCTCGACTAGTCTGTAATAAACCTGTTCAGCTCCTTGTAGAGAGCTAAGCAGCTGCTCACAAGACTAGTGACAGTGAGGTGGCACATCACAGGTGTCTGGTCTCGCTTACATGAGCACGTTCACCCTCAGTAAACACAGATGTGCTGCCACCACGGCCACGCACCCTGCCATCTTCAAGCAAGGTGGCATGGAGTGCCCAAATTACTTAGGCTGGGGAGGCCTATGAGGCAGTCGGACCGATGTGCGCAAGAGGTCCCACTGGAACATGGGGCCTCACAACAAACTAAGGCTTCTGTAGAAAACCAGGAGCCTATCCAGTAACTTTGGTTCAGCA